CCGCCCAAAAAAGTTCCATACCAGATGGTTTCAAACTCGAACTTTACCAGACCTACAAAGAAGAACTGGTACCTATCCTATAGAAATTATTCCATAATATCAAGAAGGAAGAAATCCTCCCCAGCACATTTTACGAAGCCAACATCACCTTGATACCAAATCCAGGAAAGGATTCAACGAAAAAAGAAAATTACACACCAATGTCCCTCATGAATATAGATAAAAAAAAAAATCTCGATAAAATCCTGGCAAGCAGAATTCAGCTGCTCATCAAATAAAAATAATCCATCACTACCAAGTGGGCTTCATCCCAGAGATGCAGGGATGGTTCAACATATGCAAATCTATAAATGTAATTCACCACATAAATAGAAGAAAAAACAAAGACCATATGATTCTCTCAATAAACACAGAAAATGCATTTGACAAAATTCAACACCTTTTTTTATGATGAGAACACTTAAAATAGCCATAGATGGGCCTTACATTAAAATGATACAAGCCATGAATGACAAACCCACAGCCAACATCATACTGAATGGGGAAAAATAGAAAGCATTCCCACTTAGAACTGGAACCAGACAAGATTGCCCACTATCACCACTTCTATTCAACATAGTACTGGAAGTCCCAGCCAGAGCAATCAGACAAGAGAAGGAAATCAAGAGTATCCACATAACCTTGGGGCAGAAGATTTCAAGCTATTACTCTTTGCTGATGATATGATCTTACATCTAGAAAACCCCAAAGAATCTTGCAGGAGACTACTGGAACTGATACATAAATTAAGCAAAGTCTCAGGTTACAAAATCAATGTACACAAATCAGTAGCATTCATATACACCAACAACAGTCAAGCTGAGAACCAAATCAAAGACTCAATACCTTTCACAATAGCAACAAAGAAAATAAAATACACAGGAATATATTTAACTAAGGAGGTGAAAGATCTCTACAGGGAGAACTATGAAACACTGAGGAAGGAAATAGCAGAGGATGTAAACAGATGGAAAAACACACCATGTTCATGGATCAGTGGAACCAACATTGTCAGAATGTCTATACTACCCAAAGTGATCCACAGATTCAATGCAATCCCTATTAAAATACCAACATTACCTTTTGCGGATCTAGAAAAAATAATTCTATGGTTTGTACATAACCAGAGAAGACCACGTGTAGCCAAAGCAACCTTAAGCAAAAAGAACAAATGAAGAGGCATCAATTTAACAGACTTCAAGCAATACTACAAGGCTATAGTCACCAAAACAGCATGATACTGGCACAAGAACAGAGACATAGACCAAGGGAACAGAACAGAGAACCCAGATATAAAACCATCATCATACTGCCATCTGATCTTTGACAAAGCAGACAAAAACATACACTGCGGTAAAGAATCCCTATTCAATAAATGGTGCTGGGAAAATTGGAATGTAGAAGACATGTAGAAGACTGAAACAGGATCCACACCTTTAACCACTCACACAAATCAACTCACGATGTATAGCATAGTTAAACCTAAGGCATGAAACCCTAAGAATTCTAGAAGAAAATGTTGGAAAAACTCTTACAGACATTGGCCTAGGCAAGGAATATATGAAGAAGACCCCAAAAACAATCATAGCAACAACAAAAATAAATAAATGGGACCTGAACAAATTAAAAAGCTTCTGCACAGCCAAGGAAACAATCATTAGAGTGAATAGACAACCTACAAAATGGGAGAAAATATTTGCATGCTACACATCCAATAAAGAGCTAATAACCAGAATCTATAAAGAACTCAAGCAAATCAGCAAGAAAAAAATCAAACAACCCCATTATAAAGTGGGCAAAAGACATGAACAGAAACTTTTCAAAAGAAGATAGACTAATGGCCAAAAAACATGAAAAAATGCTCAACATCTCTAATCATCAGGGAAATGC